AGGGAAGAACTGACTGCTACCCTTGTTTTTTTGCCACCTTTAAGAACATAAGAAGAAGCAGGTGAATTAGGCCAAAGGCTCAACTATGTCAGTCTATTAGTAAATAAATTGTAAAATTGTAGAGTTGAATGGGAACAGAAGTGTCATCTCATCTAGTCCAGGGCAATACAGGAATCTTTCACCCAACATATGACCCTGGGATTTCCCCCCACTGCTTCTTACTTTTCCTTCCTTGCTTTTCACCCCAGGCTCGCAGTATCCCATCTTCCTCTGCGTCAACCGAAATAGCCACGAGGAGGTGTCTGAGAGCTACTGTGACACCAGCACCAAGCCCACCCCGGAAGAGGAAGCCTGCAACACCTTCCCATGCCCAGCCTTGTAAGAGAATGATGCTTATTACTTGTATGGTTAAATCAGGGTTCGTATTACTCTGCTTTCCTTTGGACCACATCAGTGAGGCTGAGAGACTAGTCTTGTCTGGGCAGTCCAGGACCTCTGTACCCACTGCCCAGGCTCTCGCCCCAGGAGGTCATTTGACTTCACCCCCTGTGGTGTGCTCTGTTAACTCTCAAGACAATGAAACAATCAATAATATTATTTATTTATTTCATAAAATTTATGCAGCACTTGATTTTAAATCATTTTACAAAAAAGATAGGACAATAACATTATCACTTAGAAAATCAACAAGAATAATTTAAGTCCATGTTAAGACTTTCTTAACATCTGAGCAGGTTTGTCTAATCAAAATTGTTTCTAGCAGGCTCTGAAGAGAGTATTGTGAAGGCGCCTGCTGGAGATCAAGAGGCAGGGCATTCCAAAGCGTAGGCGTTGCCCCACTTAAAAATGCAGTTCTTACAAATGTAACGCCTGTAACAGTGCCCATTTCACCGATCAAATATAATATATGCTGCTTTACTCCCTGCACATTGATTTGTGCCACATCCGCACATACATTTCAAACACAGTGTGGCACAAGCAAATTTTTATTCAGAAAGTGTGGCCCAGAGAAAAATGTTGGCGAACCCCTGGGCTAGGACAGTGGCTGAGCTCAAAAACTTTTTCTGCCCAGCACGTTGATAGATGGGGTGCTAAACTTTTTTTTCCAGCATGAGGGCCACATTCCCTTCTGGGGGCCACATCCTAGTGGTGGGTGGGGCCAGAGGCAAAAGTGGGTGGGGCAATGAAGGCAAATATTGTCTTCGTACCGTGGGCTACTTTCTACCCACACTCGAGCACCCTCATATCCCAGGGAGGGTGTGAAGCAAGGCCAGTGGAGGGTGGAGCTGGGGAAGGCATGGCCCGGGGAGAGTTGCAAGGGCCAGACGGAGAGGTATTGAGGGCCACATTTCCCTACCAACGCCACCAGGCTTGAGGCTCCCCACCCCGAAACAGATATAGAATGACTCCCATCTCTTCTTCCTTCCTGCATTTCTTAGCTGGGACATCGGGGAGTGGTCGGAATGCAGCAAGACCTGCGGTCTCGGGATGCAGCACCGCCAAGTCCTGTGCCGGCAGATCTATGCCAACCGCACCCTGACGGTCCAGCCACACCGCTGCCACCATCTGGAGAAACCAGAGACCACAAGTACGTGCCAGCTGAAGATCTGCAGCGAATGGCAAATTCGGACAGAATGGACATCGGTAAACAGGAATGATTCAGAACACAGAACATGCCCCCCAACAGGCTTACCTTTCAGGAGCAGTGGCTGCAGCTGACATTGCACCAGCCCTGATCCTGCAACACTGGGGAACTTCCAGTGTTCTCACTCCGTTTGTGGAAGGGCTCCTTTCACAACTCTCCTTCCTCAACCAGAACGTCCTTCCATTCATGGAACCAAAACACTGGATGTCACCCATAACGTGGAAGTTGTCCGAATGTTTTACGAAAGGGCAGGTAGAAGAGGCTAGCAGGAAAGCCGCTCCTGTGAGCTTGGGGAACGTGGATGGCCTTTAAGGTGAAAAGTATATAACTGAAAGCAGTGGATAGCTTTTTCTCAACCTGAGGGCCACATTGCACACCCTTCTCTGCCCTCCATGCAGGAAAACAAGAAGCATTAAGAGAGTTCAAGGACATATTGGAGCCTGGCAGAAACCCTCCTGGAAGCGGCAAAGCAGGGCCAGGGAAGAGTCCTGAGGGTTAAATAGAAAGGTGGGGGGGTGCCTTTGGCCCTCTGGCCTAAGGTTCCCCATCCCTGCCTTCAGCCTGATCCATCAGGGCTTTTCTTATGTTCTCATCAGCACCTGCTCCTTCTTGCTGAGACCATTGGAAATGCTGATGGTGAGGTTCGGGACCATGTACTGTGGCCCTCTAAACTTCCTCATCTTCCATGCACCTACGTGGGATGGAGTAGAGACTTTCAACATCAAAATCTCAGGCCATTTGTTGGATAGCTCCAAATGTTATATTAGTGTTCACAATTTAAAATATGCTTCAACTGTAAAACATAATCTGTATTCCATCCAATTTGCAACAATGACATAATAGAAAATAGTATTTTAGTCCTGGATATTTATTTGCCTGGCAGGGCAGGTTTATACAATCACTGCCACAGCCATCAATTCCTTATTTCATTGCAATGCAGTAAAAGAGCCCTGCAAGCGTGTGCACGCACGCACGCACGCGCACACACACACACACAACTTTATTACAATCACAGACCAGCATAAGAAGAACGTATGAATAACAAACTGATTTTTATCAAAACCTCAGCAAAACTCTGTTTTATTTTTGGTCATTTTTAATTGAATTGTACTTCTTTATGATGCTTGCTGCCCTGGACACTTTTGGAGGAAGGGCAGGGTACAAAGGAAGTGAAACGCAATCAAAATGAATAAATGCATGCAATCCCTGTGTGCCTGCCTGACCCAGAGATCTTTCTTGTTTTAGTGCTCCGTGCCATGTGGAGTGGGTCAGAAGACACGAGATGTGAAGTGTGTCAGCAATCTTGGAGATGTCGTTGATGATGAAGAATGTAACATGAAGCTGCGCCCAAACGATATCGAGAACTGTGACATGGGGCCTTGCGCAAAGAGCTGGTTTCTTACAGAATGGAGCGACCGGGTAAGGCTTGTAATGGTCATCTTCCAGCTCAAGCTTAGTGGCGAGGCAAATATTTTGCATGCATCATTTCACTGGATAAAGATCTGAAACTCTGGAGTATGTTTTCTGTCCTAATCCTTTAATGCTCAAATCAGTACATCACCTCAGCAAAATGGGGTTCAGAGACCGAACAGATGCTAAGCAAGTGAGGATGTTGTTCCAACAGACTGTGCGCCTCCCCCTTGAGTCCCATTGTGTGGTAACAGGAGAGGCAGAATTTGAGCATGGAAAAGGGGGGGAGGCAAAAGTGAGCACCGAACTTGTTCTGAGACGATGGGCCAGGAGTGGGCTCTGGCAGTGCTAGGGGGGGCACTGGGATCCGAGGCAAGGCTGGCATGGAGCCAGATGTGAGGTGTAAGAGGTCTCCCACTGGGACCCTCCCTGGAATCTGGCTCCTTGTCTGTCACTCCCTCCTGGGGGGACTGCTCTCTCCCACCCTTCTGGGTCCCCTCTCCACAGTCGGCAGCGGGCAGCTCCCCCACCCTGTGTCTGGGTCCGACCAGCCCCTCCACTATGTCTCTTCAAGACGCATCTCTTTGGGACTCATGACACCCGGGTTCGAACCCTGACACCCCCCGTTTAGAAAGAGAAGCAGGCAGCAGGTGAGGGGAGCACCTCAGCCACAGGCCCTAGAGAACTGCCTCCAGCCAGCGTAGGCCAGGAATGGCCTCTGGATGCTTCTGGCATCACCCTTGTCCATTGGCCATTCTGTCTGCGGCTGGCAGGAGTTGGCATCTGTTCTGCTGTATAGCCACAGGTGAGTCTGTCCTGGCACAGGCTAGCTGGACCTGGAATAAGATGGCTTCCTCCTAGGCACCAACAGGCCTCTGCAGTGCACCAGCTCTGGGGGTGGGGATTACACTGTGATTGCACCAGGTTGCACATGGGGATCTGATGAGTAGGTGCTCCTGTCTGTGGGGGAGAAGGGAAGGAACTGGGTCGTTTCCTCTTTTTTTAAAGTCTTTTTTTAAAGTGTTTCCTGCTTGGCAGGGGGTTGGACTCGATGGCCCTTGTGGTCTCTTCCAACTCTATTCTATGATTCTATGATTCTATGAATCCAATCCTTTTATGATGATTCTTACCTCTTTTCCGGCAGTTGTGGAGCCTGCCAGAATCTCCCTGCTCCTCAAAGCTTGTTTGTCAGGGCAAAGGCTCAAAGGATCTTCTTGTAATAGAGACTCGTTTTTAATTTATAATCACAAAGTATTTTTGAGTGTGTTTGCTTATTTTCTTTTACACAGAGATGAACGTCTCTTTAGAAATTTATTGGAGCGATATCTCATGTGCATAAAAGAAAAAGAATTATTCTCCAAGACAGCGAAATATAAATAAACTGACTAAAGCGTTCTGGATTAGATCCAGGATTGGTGCAAATCCACCCGGTTGAACATACAGATCAGCTACGAGTTCATTTTCCTTTCTCCCCTCCCACTGAATGTACTATTTGTTCCCCCACAAGTTTAAAAATATGTCTTCATTTATTTATTTTTATGCTGGAGAATGCTTTTAGAACATTTTTTGCTGAATGCCCAAAGGATAAGTTGTGAATTTTGTATAGTTTTTTTAAAGAAAGAATTATTGCATTAATTTATGTTGCAGCAAAGAAATGGAAGAACTAGGTGCCTTTATGTGTGTATGGCAGTGGGGTGAGATCTGTTTTTATGCAATGCATGCTTTTCTGTACAGTAAGAGAAACACTGGGTGCATTCTTCATATTAACCATTTCCAAATGTTTGCTACTGTGTTGGGCACAATTCACCAGCTGTTCTCTCATTATTACTTTGGAGTTTGGATTTTAAGGTGACTTCTTTCAAACACACGTACCCACAGAAATATGATTGCCTTACAGTCAAGGTCCCATGGGAGATCCATGATCAAAACTCCTTTATAAGCAGCTGTGTGTTTGCTCTCTCTCTCTCTCTCTCTCTCTCTCTCTCTCTCTGTGTGTGTGTGTGTGTGTGAGAGAGAGAGAGAGAGAGAGAGAGCGCGATTTGGATCAGGGCCTCAGTACTTGAGAAGACGTTCACCCCTTTGTGCTGTTTCCTTATTTGAAATCACCCAATAAACCTGCTGTGAGTCTCAGAAGGTAGAAAGGTAGGTGACATTATGGATTGTGCACAAACATACCACTGGCATCTTCACAGAGCACCATTTCAGTGTGCTTTCAGGCTGCTGGTGGTTGTGGGAAAGTAATGGCAGCCAGTAGCCACTGGTAAAAACTCAGTATGGACACAATTGTCAATTTTGGTTCTTCTCAGTTTCTCACCCCCACCCCCACCCCGCCCTGGCAGTTCTTCCCATTTGCACATCACTTTGTGATTATTTTTAAGGCTTTATTTGACTGCACAATTTCTCTTACTATACATATTTTTGCAAGCCCCTTTTCCAAATAGTCATTGTATTTTCTTCTTACGCACGCTCTCCCCTAATATATACATCTTCTTTCTTGTACAAATTTTTTTTTGCACAACTTTACAAGAAAATTCAGTTGTCTGTCTGTTTTAGGGATGGCTCTGATTTGTGCCTTGCTTTGGGAAGTGCAAAGTAGGTAGGTGCACATTAGCTCAGATGGCCCAGTGGTTAGAGTGGCAGCACCAAGGTTGCAGGTTCGATCCCTATTCCTGCATTGCCGGGGGTTGGACTGGATGATCCTCAGGGTCCCTTCCAACTCTATGATTCTATGAGATGTGAACTGAACTAAATCCCACCCTACCCCCACTGTAAGAGAGTTCCCTGTTGCTGTACAACTACAAGTGGTGCTGTTCCCACCATTTCAAGCCTAAGAACTTTTAGCACAGCAGTTGCTAAAACCCAGACTGCACACTTGCTGCTCACATGGAGTAATGATGAGCGCACCCACTGGATGCTCTGTGCTTTGGATTCCCTCAAGTGCAGGAGCAGGGGAACCATCCATGCTGCCCTGAACTCTTTGAAAGAAAAGAGGGGGCAAAAGTGTCAGAAAAATTATGCATATACACCATGCATTTAAACAAATTTGAGACACCCCCCCATTCAAAGAATCCTGAGAACTGTAGTTTACCCCTCACTGAGCTAAGATTCCCAGCACCCTTAACAAATTATAGCTCCTAGGGTTCTTCGGAGGCAGAAGCGTGTTTTAAGTGTGTGGTGTGTATGCAACTGACTTCTCTCTGGCTCCGCCCCTTGTGACTTAGGGCGTTCTTAAAGAGCCAGCCCTCTGGCCTGAAAACACCCACTCTGCTCTCCAGCCTCTTCCATGGTGTACTCCCTGAGCTGGCTGGCTCCTGCAGTGGTAGGGTTGCCATATTTCAAAAAGTGAAAATCCGGACACAAAAGTTCTTGAGCTTTTTGGGCAAAGTTGATGAGCCAAATACTGAATACCAGATGTATGGTGACCCTATGCAGTGGACCCTCTGTGAAGACACCCATGAGCATCCAGGAGGTTCTTCTTAGGGGGCTCATGTTTCTCAGGCTCCATTGTTTCATGATCTCCAGCAACAAGCTCAGAGCGTGACACCTGCCCTGGCCGTCCACAGCAGGAAAGTCTGCAGCCAGAGGCTCTTGAGTCTGAACCCATGGCTGAACCCATGGCTGGCCTACACAAGCCTCTTTGGTCCGAGCCAGCAAGGCTCCTCTGCTGCTTTTATGATGTCACCCAGATGTTTTCAAGAAGCTTAAGCATGCTGTTGGGTGTCTGGTTTTTGCAGAGAAATGTCTTTGTTTTAATTTTAAAAGATGGAAATAAAGCTCAAGAGCCCAACAATATCCTGGCTCCAAGTCTGCTGCTGAAGCCCTTTAATATCCTTTGCAAGCAGTTAATCTGCGCTGAAATCTCACAGCACAGAGTGGGGCAAGTCGATATCTTCTTAGTTGGCATCTAATTTGAAATGTGATCCGTTTGTTCAGCTTACTTAGAACAGAACTCAGTTTCTGGAGAACCAGAACAAGTAATATTGCTAGCTGAGTGTGCTGAAAGCACCAGAAGCCAATTGAAATACTTTGTGGACGTGGAATGTTAATGACCCAAAATGGTACCACCAGGCTGTGAGTGTTTTGTGGGAAGAATTCAAACAAATACCAAGAAATTTAAATTAAAGTGGATTAAAATGCTCTGTCACCCCCTAGCATAACAAAGCAATGTTTTTTGTTTTTTTTAAGGAACACACTTTGTGTGCACGATAAGTGAATGATTAGCAGAAAGATGTATAGACACTCTGCCAGCAAATTAGGATTTATACTGGATGAAAGGTTCATTGAAGAGCCTGCTGGATCAGGCCTGTGGGTGTGGGTGTGAAAGAGAGAGACAGACAGACAGAGACTTTCTGCTTTGGCTGTTCACAGCACCACCAATTCACCAAAGGGATTGTGGTCCTCAGTCCCAAAAGTTTGCATATCTCTTTCCAACAGAATAGGCTGCATGAGTACTATAACACTGTCTAGGGTATTACTATCAAGTATTTTTGATGGAAACCTCAATTCAGTTACCCAGAAGGTCACACATCACCATATTATGCTATCTTGCATAGAATTTAGCACCCTGTCAATTTTTACATACAGTGGTGCCCCGCAAGACGAATGCCTCGCAAGACGGAAAACTCGCTAGACGAAAGGGTTTTCCGTTTTTCGATGCGCTTCGCAAGACGAATTTCCCTATGGGCTTGCTTCGCAAGACGAAAACGTCTTGCAAGTTTGTTTCCTTTTTCGTAAAACCGTTAATACCCAGGGTGCATTGCTTGAAGAGGTGCAGTTGCGACTTGACTTCGAGGAGCAACACATTGCACACGGTGTGGTAGCCTTTTCTGAGGTTTTTGAGGACTTTGCTAATTTTTGAAGCTTTTCCAAAACTTCTTTTGCAGCTGTTTGGTAAGTTAAACTTTCAAAACTTTTTTTGGGGTTTTTGGATTTTGGGTTGGGGTGTTTGGAATTCAAGGACTTGGTGTTGGGGAGAGGTTTGCAAGAATCTGGGAGCTTGTGTGGTTTTTTTCTGCATTTTTATGATTTTTTGTGACCATTGGGGCACTCTGCTGTTTTTTTTAAAAAAAATTCTGGGTTTGAATTTCTGTGTGGTGGGTGGCTGGGGGAACAGTTGAGGAGGGGTTTGCAAGAATCTGGGAGCTTCTGTGGTTTTTTTTTTGAATTTTTATGATTTTCTGTGCCCATTGGGGCACTCTGCTGTTTTTTTTTTTTTAAAAAAAATCTGGGTTTGAATTTCTGTGTGGTGGGTGGCTGGGGGGACAGTTGAGGAGGGGTTTGCAATAATCTGGGAGCTTGTGTGGGTTTTTTTGAATTTTTATGATTTTCTGTGACCATTGGGCCATGTTGTGTTTTTTTTTAAAAAAAATTCTGAGTTTGAATTTCTGTGTGGTGGGTGGCTGGGGGGACAGTTGGGGAGGGGTTTGCAAGAATCTGGGAGCTTGTGTGGGGTTTTTTGAATTTTTTTTATTTTCTGTGACCATTGGGCCATGTTGTTGTTTTTTTTAAAAAAAAAATTCTGAGTTTGAATTTCTGTGTGGTGGGTGGCTGGGGGGACAGTTGGGGAGGGGCTTGCAAGAATCTGGGAGCTTGTGTGGGTTTTTTGATTTTTTTTTTATTTTCTGTGACCATTGGGCCATGCTGTTTTTTTAAAAAAAAAATTTTCTGAGTTTGAATTTCTGTGTGGTGGGTGGCTGGGGGAGCAGTTGGGGAGGGGTTTGCAACAGTTGGGGAGGGGTTTGCAACAGTTGGGGAGGGGTTTGCAATTTCTGTGTGGTGGGTGGGTGGCTGGGGGAACAGTTGAGGTTTTTGAAGACTTTGGTGATTTTTAAAGCTTTTCCAAAACTTCTTTTGCAGCCATTTGAGGATTTTGAAGACTTTGGTGATTTGCAGCCATTTCGTAAGTTAAACTTTTAAAACTTTTTTGGGGGTTTTTGGATTTTGGGTTGGGTGCTTGGAATTCAAGGACTTGGTTCTGGGTTTGAATTCCTGTGTGGTGGGTGGCTGGGTGCTTTTGAATTTTTTGGGTGTGCATCACTGATTTTTTTTCTTTTTTCTGAGTTTACGAAGCTAGGAGCTGTGCTGTCATGGGACCCAAGAAGACTGCTGCTGCAGAGGCCGGTGAGAGGAAGAAGGAGAAGGTGACGCTGGAAATGAAGAAGGAGATCATCCAGAAGCACGACGGTGGAATGCGTGTGACAGACCTCGCCAGGGAGTACGGCAGGAACCCATCGACCATCAGCACCATCCTGAAGATGAGGGAGAAGATCCTTGCAACTGATGCAGCCAAGGGAGTCACCAGGATCGTGAAGAACCGCCCAGCTGTTCTGGAGGAGGTCGAGAAGTTGCTCCTCATCTGGTTAGAAGAGAAGCAGCGTGCAGGGGACACAGTGACTGAGGCCGTGATTTGTGAGAAGGCCAAGGCCTTGCACACAGACCTCATCCAGGAACAGCCAGGAACCTCAGTCGAGCCAGAAGTCTTCAAGGCAAGCAGAGGTTGGTTTGACCGGTTCAAGATGAGATCTGGAATCCACAGCGTGGTCAGGCATGGAGAGGCTGCCAGTTCTGATGTTCCTGCGGCTGAAGACTTTGCCTTGGAGTTCCTGGAGGTTGTGAAGACGGAGGGCTACGTTCCACAGCAGGTCTTCAACTGCGACGAGACGCAGTTTTGGAAGAGGATGTTTTGGAAGAGGATGCCCAAAAGGACTTTCATCACTCAGGAGGAGGCCAAGTTGCCTGGCCACAAGCCCATGAAGGACCGTCTGACCCTGCTCTTCTGTGCCAACGCAAGCGGCGACCTGAAGATCAAGCCCCTGCTGGTGTACCACTCGGAGAACCCACGGGCCTTCAAGAAACACAAGGTCGACAAGGAGCAGCTGAGTGTCATGTGGCGATCCAACAGCAAGGCTTGGGTCACACGTGTGCTGTTTGTGACTGGGTCAATCTTGCTTTTGGCCCTGCTGTCAAACAGTACCTGCTGGACAACGACCTGCCGCTGAAGGCTTTGCTTCTGATGGACAGTGCTCCTGCTCATCCTAAAGGCCTTGAG